ATTACGCGTAATTATGACTGGAATCGGTTCTCTTGAATGGGTATATGGCTTCATTCTACCAGCTTTAGTCTTGTATGGATTACAAAAAGCAATTTTAAGATTTACCGATGCAGTGTCCACCGCTTCTCCTCCCAAAGATAGAGCTCGTTTCACATCAGGAGTACCACATCCGATTGCAACGTATTTCACTAATTTTTCCAGTAAGTCACTTATTCACAATGATTAGCAACACAATGGGTATGATTGTTGTCGATGTTTGTAGATTATTTTATTGGAATTTATTCTTCCATTCTTCATTTGATCGGTCAACTCTTGATGAATATTTTATTCTTGCCTCGTATTGATTTTTGCAGTCTGGAACGGTCATTAACAAGATTGGGTAAGATGATTATCTGGTGTTTTCAAAAGAAAAGAATCCTTAAGGATTTTCTTTTAAAATGTTTATCATCATAATCACAATCATTTTTGAATACGAATCATAGTCATCTAATTGAGACTATTTCAGCTGTCAAAATTATTAAAAACGGTGTAAGAACTCTTCTAGTGTTCAAATATAGCAAAATAACGTTTTGATATGATATGAATCAATCGAATCGACGCTGTCGATCAAATTTATCGTATTTCAAACACCATACAATCCATGAGATAGTATGAACTTGATAGCTAATTATATGTCATATTTATTCACCAAACAAATAACAAATATCTTTTACTTAAGACTTGATCAATTAGCTAATTCATCCATTTCGATATAATTAATGTTGATTGGGAGTCTCTAATTTAGATAAAGGACATCAATCGTACGAGTCTTTCTTACTATGGGAAATATTCTATGCACATCCTGTCGGATGCGGTGAGTTAATCGTGTTTTTAGATACTTATAAAAAATCTGTTATTTATTTTTTTTAACTATGTTTTAGAAGTCGTATTCGGAGCTGCGGAACTGGTTCATGAAGGTACGTATTGGAGAGAATTTCTACATACCTTAGATGCAGAGAAAAAATAACTCACTAATCATTGCTTACTTGTCTATACACTTGCTAGTGCTCAGACTAGAATATACATTTGATGGATGAAATTTTCACGATGATTGATCCGTTGCTATTCGATTCTTCAGATAGAAAAATTCATCACAATCAAGCTACATAGTTCTGGTTACTATCTGAAATCTCTCACTATGTCAAATCTTGAAAAGAAACAAATATTGAATAGATAAAGCTAGTAGTTTCCAATAAGAAAATGAAAGTTCTGAGTTAGATTTTGGTGACAAGAAGTATTTGAAACATTCAATATCAATGAATATCTGATCATGAAAAATTCATCCTACACATGTATGATCAACTTCAAGTTGTCGCTCATTGATCAGCCTCATCAATTTGTAATTCGAAAAGGAAAATTGAATTTCATCTACGGTTTTAGGTGTACAAAACCAGGAATCCATTGCCCAAGAAATGCGTGAGATAGACGAACAAACATCGTCTGGAAACATAGGTGAAGTTGTGTCTGAGTCCGACAATATGGATCAAGCAAGACGAATAAATCTTAATTCGACCTCAGCAGACCAAGCAGCGCGATATGACGATCCAAATTCGATTAACAATGCTATTGATTATTCGGAGAATCATACACTACTTGACACAGCACACTTAAGAGTCAGACCGGTGAATGACTACGATCGATCACAAAGTTATACTAGTGTTTAATTTAGTTCTTACGATTCTGACTGTAACTCAACGAGAATTAGCGGGTTCGAAATTTGAGAGACTTCAGACTTAGCATGGATTTTTTTAGCGCCAATAATGTTAAGACTATTGTCTCTAACTTTCACCTGTACCTACTCGACTTTTTTCTCTGTATCCAAGCGAAAGTTACTTTTTGAATTAAATGTGAATGTTTGCCCCTAATTATCTCCGACTTATTAATTTCTATTAATTGAACTCAGTGGCATTCTCATCATGATTTCGTCTGAACTGTTTTATTCGCATCCTAACGTATATATTCCAATAGCCTCATGCGTATGTGATGTTCAGTGAAAGAAGACCCCACATTCAATTATGCCCATACTTCGGCGATTATTTAATCAAGTGTAATGTTTCGTGCAGAATTTCAAGCGTTATCTTTTGATAGAAAAAGATGTTTTAATTTAAAGGAGTAATAGAAGAGAAATCATAGAAATACTAAGAAGACAGTTCTTTATGGAGGACTTGCTATAGCTGATAATGTTGAAAAATCGATATAATCGAAAATCATCAATTTTTAGTGATTGAAAATCGCAAAGTTGGATTTCTTGCAATTGAGATTTTACTCAATTATAAGAATTATAATCGATTATTTAAATAGCTCTAATGATAAATTATATAATCGATGATAATCTTTAAAAATGAATTACTTTTTCAATTGATTGAGGAATTATAATCAATTTTGATCGAATTATTTTTGAAAAAAAGTATTATTCTATCAAAACATCGAACTATCTAGCCTATAACCGAAAATAATCACGCTTATGCATGAATGTTTTTGATTGAGCAGAGAAGTTATGAGTGTGATGTGTAAATGGGTATGTGAATGAGGAGGAAACAGCACCGATCAATACAGTAAATTCAAGTGGACACACACACTATCACTCTCCATGCATGCAAATTCGAGCACTCGTTGTGCGCATACAATTTATTTTCTATCAATCAGTCTACATGATATTTCAATGACAAGAGATATACAAGTAAGTCCATTTAGATAAAAACTTCTATTAAGTACATTACTAGATAAGTATAAGAGATGACTTGACAAATGACAGCAATTTGTTTGACACAACGAATTTTTTTTTCTATAGCAAAATTCGATTCTTATGTTCGATAATACTAGAAAAAGAAGAAACTACAAATATAAAACTTAACATTTACAATCATCTTCTTTTAACCAATGATTTATGAAGTCGATACTCTAGTTATTCATAAAAATACAATTCAATACAAATAGAAAAACTATTAAATACTTATAGACTAATTTTCGCCAGTTTTATTCAGTAAAAATAATAGAAAACAAAACTTTTCATTGTTTTGAAATAGTTTTATATTGATAATTCTTCATATCATACATAATCGACAGCATCATCAAAGACTCCTTAAGAAAAGTACTTATCCATAAATACTTCAAAATATGTAGGGCACAAGCTCACTTTTTTTATGGGCAGCAATCAACTTTGAACGGAAACTGTTCACCACCCTCCTGTCTCAAACAGGTTTGTCGATCTTTTCCTCGTGGAAAGACTCCATCGGAATGGATCATGGGGAGAAGAAAAAGGCGATCGAGAGTTACCTTTAACTAGGTTCTGCTCTCTCATCATTTACTGGCGTTGGAATCCTATTTACCTCATGCACAATGTCTGCTTAGTCTAATTTTAATTTCTGCCAGATAAAAAAGAAAATGATGTTGTAAAATCTATTTTCTGTCGAATATTAGCTTATTGCTCTTAAAACAGATCGGCTAAAAATCCTATAAATTTTCTCAGAAAGTTGGGAATTTTTTATGGCGATAAGGTAATCTTCATCTTCCTCAGTGTACAATCTCGCATTAACAGCTAGTTTTGTTTTTGGCTGATGGTTAGGTTCGAT